AAAAATTCATTCGCGATTTATTGGCGCAAATTGAGTTTTGAAAGACAACAAAATGAATGAGCGATCCGTGTGGAGAGGTGGCGAGTGAGTGGCAATTTTGGTAATGTAAAATCAAAACCTAAAAGCAAGAAGAAAGAGGAAAGTGAGCCGAAAAGAAATCATATTGAATGCCATTGAATTTTATGAAGATGGAAACGAGGCTGCAAAAAGCTTGTATTTAGTGTTTTACAAATCTGAGTAGGTACTCGGGCATAGAAGCATATCAATGTACGCAAACACATTTGTAGATATATTTGAAGTTCACTGTAAATAGCATTGTGTAAATCATTCGGTCAACGATTTCGTATTGACATTGGAAATTTATTACTTTCATGCGGACAAACAACATGTACGGAACTAAGTTTTTTGCATAGCCACATATTTATTTATGTGTGTGTAACCTGACCATTCATTCAGTCAGCTCTAGTACATGTTACGAGTACTTCTCTGGTCACAATCCATTCGTCGCCCAAAGCACGGCGCGCACATTCCTACTTACTTGTGTACATTCAAGCCTAAGCTGTTTTTGTGTAAACGCCCTGACATCACTTGGATCGCATCTACGAGTATAAAACTCAACACACGTAAGTTTACGTATTAGCATATCTGTTTAATTTTGATCAACATTGTACAGTACAGTATGTAGTTTGTTGAATTGGGTTGCTATCGCTCGCGCGCATGTCAACAAATAAATCGTCATTGTAAAAATGGTATTTTAAATTGTTTGTGACACTTGCAACTGGAGCTACACGACAAAGACGTTTGCAAAAAAAATAATTGTTTGCATTTATTTTTATTTAGTAGTTTTTAACTCAATAGGTGACGAGCTTTTGGCAGAAATATACATCACGTAAGCTCCTGCATAAGCACCTGCTAGAGTAGATTGGGCATCAGCGTACCTCTCCTGTGAAGTGTTTGAACCAAATTCTTATCGCAGGCACTTTTTTTGACCAACTACTTCGTACGTTTTTAGCCGAATGACGCTTATGATTTATGAACAGTTGCAAGTCTGTGCGAAAAGTTCTTAAGACTAGTTGAACGTTGGATGCATCAAAATAGTATGAGTCAATCTTCACTCAATGCTGCGAGCTACCTCCTCTCGGAAAGTCGCAGAACCAACCCGCAGGGAGGGGATGAAATAGCCTACTTCCACAGCTTCACAGTCTAGGGAAGTCGCCATCCTTGCACTCGGTAGGAACCGAATTCTGCTACACCATTTTTGGAGTCTGGGTCTGCACGGAAGCAAATAAATCAGAAACAATTGCAATTAAGTCTTTATGCGAAGGCGCAAAACCAAAACACAAAACTTTATCATGTCGGAGAGTGAGAGAACCAACCAGAAAAGAGGAGATAAAATACCCTACTTCCACAGCTTCAGTCCTGGGCAGTGACCATCATTCCTAGCGGTAGTAGCCGAAGTCTACTAGACTATGTTTGGACGCAGTTTTTGGACTCTAGCTCTGGACGGAAGCAAACAAGTCAGTAACAATTTGCAATTTTAAGTCTTTATGCAAAGGCGGAGAATCAGTTGGAGGTTATAGTTGGCATAGGAGAACCGGAGCTAGTGCGCGGTAGGAAATAGGACTTATTCGTCCCCTAGAAAAGTAGATAGCTAAATACTTAAAAGAGGTATGCTCAGCATTATAACGGTTCTGTTGTGCTCTCTAGAGAGAGTTTAGAAAAGCTTTTAGAGGTAGAAAGTGCATCGATGGCTCCGAGAAATATATCCTATCATGAACGCCGTGCGAAAGACTATCTAACGATTTGGTGGAACTACAGGACGACGGACAACGATCGGCGAGCGTCTAAACACGCGACGATACAGGAATGACCTGAGTAGCAGAGGATCTCAGCAGCGGTGATGGTGAGAGTAACCGCGGCACTTCGTAACGGTGATAGTGATATCGGCCCTCGACAGCAGTTACGGTGAGAATGGTGAAGTGGTGCCCTCCTAGCTGAATTACAAAAGCGACAGAGATAATTTGATTCCGAATTTATGTAGATGCCCTCTTAACCTGCAGTGTGCCGTGAGAATGCCCGTAATAATCCTCAGTTTCTTTGAGGCAGGTTAATTAGAGGCCTTTGTCTCCTCGGGTTTACCAGTGTTGTTCTCTCCCTTCTTTGTTGCTTTCCTGAGCTCTTCTCTTATTGTGTTCGACCTACTGCAAGGATTGTTTCGGGTCCTGTGTGAGCTGAGGCTGCTTAGCTAATCCGTCCGCTATCTTACTTCCCTCTGTTCCCTTGTTACTGAAAGTACTTATGTAGCTGTATTCAGCTAAGACATTAAAATTCTAACGTTCCCCAGAAGCCTTCGATTGGGCATAATCGAAGGAGTTTAAAATGGTAAAGGCGCTAAATGCCTCTCCCTTAACTGAGAAACTTGCTGGCAGTTTCGAGTAGGCCAAAAGGATAGTAGCGGCACCTAATCTAGGAAAGCACGATCGCTAAGCTACTGAGATCTCAAAAAGTTGAAACTTTCCAGGCTCAAAGGCTCAGAATCAGTGCCCCACCTTTCACATAAGCAAATAGACTCACTTGACTCGAGGAATTTAGACCAAAACAAGCAAGACAACGACACCTTCAGGAAAAACTTCAAGCTCTTAGTGTAAAAAATTTTTGGATGAGTTTTCGAAGATAAACGGTGGAAGCTCTAGTCCACTGCCGCGATGCGAAAATACCGAAGGGGCATCAGCAGCTGCCAAGCATATTGTTTGTGCTGGCGAGCGTGCGATATCGCTATACAAGTTGGCAGTGACTTTTAAAGGGAGATCTGGGAAGCCGTGCACAGTAAGGTTTTGCCTTCACTCCCGCGGGGCCGCGCCTAGCTTCCAACGTTCGCTATTGCAACCCTCAACTAATGGGGGATCCAAGAAATCATATCAGTGAGCGGTGATACAGCTTGCTGAGTTGTAAAGTGTTATATTCGATGGTTTCGAGAAGCTGGCCCTTTAAGGGAACAAATCAGATACCAAGTAGATATGTATGTAGCTCTTAACTTTCAGAAGCGGAGGGTACCCGTACAAGTATCAGTATATAAAGAAATCCACGGTCTGGGCGCGCTAATAACGGGTAAAGGTAAAGGTGGACTGACGCACTCAGCTCTTTCAATGATTGTTCGGTGAAAAGCTCTTCCGATAGTAGACTTTGCATTGCATCAATGAAAGTTTTAATTATTTTTATCCACAAGTTGTTTTTTGTATGTTGAAAACTTTATCACACTGACAGTTGCTGTCCTAAAGTCTTTGATGAATCGTCATTATACCTGCAAAGCGCTTAAAAGAACTGCCAAACAAAATTCTTAATTCGCTCATAACAATCGCGA